TATATGATCTCACTGTGTTATGTGATTACATCACATTTAAAAGTATTTAATGTGCATATCTTTTTTCATTTGCATAAACAAATTTAGGCAATAATTCAATACAGCCGATCAGATAATATTCATTAGGGTCGTTCTTTTCTGACGAGCAATAATTATTTGCCAGATAATTGCGGTAACTGGCACAAACTGGTAAAAGTAAAGTAACAATTACATTATGGCTTGATGAATAAAATAGAAGACAGTAGATTAATTTAAAATACTGCACAGTGGGAGATTTCTTACTCGTTATTTTAACAGCTTGACTTGACCAAAGGATGGGTGGACCAAGATGCTAGCAAACATACCACATATACAACAGTGGCACAACACTATGTTAACATTATCTATATAATAAATAAGTAATAACATGATATATAACGGTATAATACAAGTATACTGTTAAAGTGCATATAAATATGTATAACCCCACCAAAAATTAAATGATATTATATTATAAATGATTATAATTAGTGGCTTTATTATGATAATTATCATAATGCATAGCCTGCTCTGTGTCTTTCTCTCTATATATATTCTTTTTTTGAGTTTATATTAGTTAGCTTTCCTTTCCTCTACTATCATTGCATGCATCTATTCCCAAATTCTGAATAATAGCTTATTTTGCATTAGTTAATTCCCTGCACATTTTAATCAGAAATTATAAGTTTCTTCCTTTTTTTGGAAAAACTATTGTCATTTTTGCATAGGTTAGTTTAAGTGTGATAATTGCCTTAACATTCATGTAAAAAAAAAATTCTTGTCCTTCAAGTTTGAAATAAATTCTAACTTGGATTTGACTGTTTCATTGAGTGTTTTTTCCTGGTTTCCTATTCAAAGCAACACTTTTCAGCATTAAACCACAAGGGGGCAGTAAATATTCACAAGTCCTTTGCCACTGGGGTAATGGTAGCAATTTACAAGTTATATTACTTTTGTTGAGTAATGGCAACACAGTTAATGCTTGTGTATTTCAGATTGCTCTAACTTCCATCACCATCAAAATATATTTAGACGTATGACCTTTCTATGATCCGTAACTGTGGGTGGAGCTAAACATGCTCTTCAATAGATCAAGCCTCCGTCACAGTGCTGTGGCAGTGCAGTCATTGTGGGGTTTTTGGACTGAACACTGTTTTCTAACATAGTGCTCTGATTTGTAATGAACCACTACAGGGATATTAAGCGCGCTGCACTTCACTTGATAATTTAAGTGTTATATACTGTATGTTACAGCACTTAAACAACTGGTTGCCCCTGTGGCTTGATGTATGGTAGTAATTACACTAACGCATGAACACAGAGCAGTTCAGACTGAACTTAATACATCTCTTTTCTCTATCTCCTGGGATCTGCTGACAGCTGCTGTGAGTCTTGTTTTGTCAATATCGGACTCTATTTTAAGCTTCTCTAAATGTGCAATGACCTTGAAAAAGCCTCTTTTTACCTTTCAGACAGACTGAGTGCCAGGAAGTGAATGTGGCTAGGGTTAGAGGCTTTGTTGCTCGTGTTTGATATGTTAGTGTGTGAAAGTGTTACTGTAGCAACAGTGAAAAGAGGGTGATTGAATGGTCAAGGCTTTAGAGCGTCCCCCTCTCAGGGAGTTTCACTGAAAGGACAGGAGCGAGGTAGGGGCTGGGCAGATGGGTGGACTGGTTGGGGGTGGGTCATCATACATGTATGACATACAGTATGATGTAAGAAAAAAAGGTAACGGCCAAGGTAAAGTTGCAGATATGTTATAATTATGGATGGGTGCACATAATCATTCGATATTAGTCACCAATGGGTCTTCACTGTGAAAAGGATTACGACCAGTCAGGAAACAAAGCTCAGTAGGAGCTGAACACTGATCACACATTGGGGATAAGTGGGCTTAAGAGAAGCTGCAGTAAATGGGCTGCAATAACCCAGACACTTAAGTGTGTCATACCTGACAGATGTAGCTGATCACAATGTGTAGTTGGCTCTGGAGTGTGCTAAAGGCTGTCTAATGTTGTGTGCTGCTGTGGCTTACTAGACTGCTGCCAGCAAACGGTGTTGCGTTCAAAAGTCAGTAATCTATACTCACACTGCAGTTATTAAATGATTACATCAGGGATCACACCACACTGTATGATTAATTAACCTTGACTGATGCTTTGTAAAGCCGGCTCTAGCAGAGCAAGTATGCCCACTGGTCTGCATGTACATACACATACGTATGAAATGGTTTAAAGCACCACTGGAGTCTGGTAATACTCACTCGGGGTTACTGTAGTGCAACAAAGCCTTGCTCTCTGCAGACAAATATAGGATCAGTCCTCAGGACCTTTATTAGCAGCTGTCCAAACACCAGGAGTCTGAGTTTTGCCTCTTAAACTGACAGCTTGCTTCTTTCTGCATGTCTTTGATCATTCACAAATATGCTTTGGACACAGCAGCATTTGACAAAATCATCATGCCAGCCACCAGGTCAAATGGTGTGCACATACTGTGTGGTTCAAAGGGGAGCTGACTCAGGAAGGGGCTGACTCAGGAAGGGGCTGGGTTGCCTGGCTTCAATCCCCTGCTTCCTCTGGTTCTCAAATGAACAGCACAATATTGTTGCAACCTGCAAGATAGCCCATGAATAAAACATAGCCACTGTATTAGTGCTTAAAGACATCTTTTCATTTTCAGTTTGAACCATATATTGAAGTTTATATGCATATAGAAAAGCGGAAGATTAATAACAATTTCTCTCTGCTGGTTACCTCTTTTAGCACGCTGGAACATACACAAGTACAGAAGCAATTATGCTGTGCATCAGTGCACAACCACATACACACAAGTGTGCACCACAGTACAGCTCCTTCAAGACATTCCCCAAGAAACCTTCAAGCATGAACAGTGTATATTTTAAATAGTTTTTTTTATTAATATGTGCTGATACAAGGTCGCTTTGACCTGCAATGATGGAAACACTCACAGAAAATCATCCCCTTTGGCCCAAACAGCTATCAAAGCAATGAGTGTGAGAAAACAAAAATCAAATAAGACAAATGAACATGATTCCTAAAAGAAAACCAAAGTGTTATATTTACCTCAGTTTACAAATGTCTCAGCAGTACATATTAAATTATCCATTTCATAGAAAAATCACAGAAAGCTCTAGATATGGTGCTATATGTAGAACCCCACATGGCACAATGTCAGTGCTCACGCTGCCATATAGCTTGCTATGTAATAACCACTAGCACCCAATGATTTACCTCCTTAATGTTAAGCATTTCAGGTATGTGTAATACTGACCAAGTTCCATTGTACTGAGCTAATTAATACAGCTCTCAGATGATCATCAGGATATCCCATCCATAACCACTGAAGCCAGATATTATACATCTGGTGACAGACACCACATGGGGCTGAATTTTTTTGGCCTGTCCCATGGATGCTCATGGATTGAGATTACTACAGCCATGAACAGGTGCATGTAGGAACTGTTCAACTCCGCCCAAACCTCAAGCAAGAAAGAAAAAGACAGATTCAGCCTGCTCCAGCTGTGTCAATTGTTTTAATCTTGAACCTTATAATCTCAACATGTTTAATCGTTTGGAGAAACCCTTGTTGTCCAGGAGCCCCGGGTGTTGCTGGTACCACGCTGTGTATTAAAGATCAGAACTTTCCTGAAATGCTGGCACAGCTCCACAGACACATACTCAACACAAAAGTTAAAGAGCAAAAGTTCATTATTGTGTTCATCCAATACCTCTAAAGAGTCTTAGTAACTACTTTAAAGGAGTCATGTGGAGAAGAAGAAATCAATAACAAAATAGTACTACCATATGATTTGTTTACATTTGCTCTTTAAAAATCTCTTTAGGAAAATCATGGTGCATTTGCAGGCACTGTAAAAATCGTGCTTTAATTGGCTGATGCGGCAGTGGTTTCATTTTCACATTTTTTTTTTGTTAAAGGAAGCATCCGTTAGCTCAAACAATCCCATCATCTTTCTTTCCATCACAGGCAGATTTGTTTCATGAATGAACTTGAGATCTGACATGCCAGCTTGATCAATTTAAACCATAAAGTAATAACTTCTGGTCTGCAAACCACCGTCAGAAAGCAATCTGAAACAAAGTAGCACATCCATCTCCTTATCTCCAGATACGCTCCTGCACAGCCTCACTGCAAACCCCTCTCACCAGCCGTCCCTCCCTCTCTCACCGCCTATGGCTATATATTTGTGACATCTGTGACATCTCTGCTGATGCTGTCCCTCCTCAGTCCTCCTCACGGGCCAGTCTTTGCAGACATAATGACCCTCTGCTCCTCTGGCGCTGTTGAATTCACACACCGCTGTCCTGCCGCTTCTGTACCGCCCTCCTGGTGTGATATGGTCCACACAAAAATGTCTGCGTGTGAATGGGTCAACTGTGAGTGAACAGACTGAAGTCCTGCTGGGACCGCTGTCTAATGATAGACTGAACAATGGCACAAGCTGCAGGGGTGAAACAGCACTGTGTCAAAGGTTGGGCATCCAACCTTTTAAACAACTTCCCACATAACCACTAAAGCTCACACGTCAGGCCTGCCACTGGCATGGAAGGTTTGCAAATCTAGACAGAAAACAAGAGAATGGAGGTGAGCGAGAGTGAGTTCACAACAATAAATTAGTACCCACTGTGTTATTATTGTAATCAGAGGTTTGAAGGGCTTTGAATGGTGAAGAAACTCCCATCGTGAGAGCCTCCATCCGACAGCGTGGGCCGCGAACCTTCTCCTGTATAATCACCATCATTTACAGCAGTGCAGCCCTCCACTGTTTATTGAGATATTAATCTGGGATAAACAAAGCTTTTGACAAAACAAATTAACACTCTCAAAGAAGTGCTGCACTAATGGAGTCCACTGAGATTGATATTAAAATGTGGATGAGTTTTGGGGGGAGGGCCCTGGGTAGTGCTGGAAAAAAAA